CCACCTACTACCTCCAGCCCCCTTACATGTCTTTCCCCCGCACGAGGCTCGAGACACCCGCTCCTGGCATGGCCGGTAAGAGCCGGGCTCCCGCAAAACCTTTGCTAGGTGGGAGCCCCCGTTTTCTGCAGAAACAGGTTGGAACCCGTGAAAAAAGAAAAAAAAAACAGAAAAACAAGCAAAAAGAAGAAAGAAAAGGGTTCCAACCATCTTCAAAAAGAAAATCGAGCACCTTGAATTAATGTGAGTCCATGATCTTTTGTTTTTGAGAGTCTCTTCATCCACGATTCATTTGTCCTCTGTTCACTATTTGCCATGATGCCGACTCGGGACTAGTGCTCTCGCCGAAGAAGCTATGAGATGACTTATGCGTCGGTTGACCTCGTAAGTTGCTAAATGATCTAGAAAATACTCTACCTACGATCGAGGTTGTTTGTCGCTATAGAGATCTGGAGAGCTGCATTGGTTTGAGTTAGGTTTGCTTGGGGACAAGCAAACGGTTAAGTGTGGGGGAGTTTGATAGACCGATAATTATACATGTTTTCACCCCTATTCTGAAGCCGTTTGTGATGAGGAATCTCGTGTTTTAAGCCGATTTCACGCTAGGTTGTGTGTTTATGTCATATTTCAGGACCCGGCATTGGAATCGAGGCGGAGAAACGAGTTCTGGGTCGAAAGGAGCGAAGTTGGGACGAAGGAGGCTGTTGGACCAAATTACCCGGCCAAAGGAAGAAATACCCGACCGGGTATTTTCTGGCCTTGACCGGGTATTTTTCACTTCGGGCGTCCGTGAGAAACAGAAGGGGGCCCGGGCAAATGCCTTAAATCCTCGGTCGGGGATTATGAAGTCAGATCGGAGATTCTTCCCTTTAATGAAACGGTGAGTTTTGTAAATACCCGGTCGAAACCCGAAATACCCGACCGGGTATTTCGACCGGGTATCGCGACCAGGCAGCTGATAAAAGGAAGAAGAAGGCCAACATTGAAGGGTTCGGAGTTTTTGAGAGAGAAAGCGATCCCTAGAGAGAGAAAGCGACGAACCAGAGTTCCCAAGTGCCATAGCTCGATCTTCATCACCATTGGAGCCCGGCTTGAGCTTGGAGAAGTGCGATTAAACGTCCAGGAGCAGAAATCCATCTTCACAGTATGATTTCCGCGTCTGAATCTGCTTTTGCTTCTTTCTCTATGGAGTAGTTTCCCCATTCATCTGGGTATGGGGAACCCTAGATTTGTATGCTAGGTCTGATTGTATGAACTCAAGTACAGAGTTTATGAATCGATTATATTCGATTGAGGTTTGAATGATTGAATAACTTGAATCCTGATCAAATTCCTGTTGTTTCTGCTTTGACCTAGAAAGAGAATATCTGCCTAGGTTGATAGAGTATCCTTAATCGAAGGTGGCGAATTGGTGACTTTAGTCGAGGAGCCAATTCACTATTCTGTACCGAATTCAATTCGGTAGTGGAGGTTTGATTCGTTAGGGCCTCAATCTGTTTACTCCGGTGGAGGTTAGTCGCCCGCTAGAGACTCAGATTGAGAGGGTCTGGAGACCTTTAGTCGAGACTTCAGGCTAATTAAGAACCTTCCGCAGTATAACTTTCATGAAAACTGAACTTGGTAAATTGCAATCCGACTTAACTGCAGTCTAGGGGGAACCATATCCGGGTGACCTCTCTTGACTTGACAACAACCGCTTACTTGCTTTGTGTTTTTGTTTCCTTGAATTTGCACTAAAAGTTCACTGCTAGATAACGAGAATTCACCGAGTAGTCATCACATCTAGGACCCGGGTTGACAATAAAACCCAACCCCGCTATACTACGCTTTAGGAAGTGGTTCCACATGGCCATTTTCTAGAGTGACAGTAGGAGTGAGTCACAAACCAAATTAACCAGTTAAGTAATTAGTCATATATCTAACATATATTATATACACATACTTAATACTTTGCATAACCACTCAAGAGTTAATATTCATCCCTTTTAGACTCATAAAATATAAAGCTCAATATTGCTCATATAGTGTATTTTTGTATATGTAAAATGTAGACCACAACATATGGACGCCTAATTTGGATAAATTTCATACATTATGATGGATGAAAACTTGAAAGGAAGGTCATTTCCAGCCTATGATAATTGCTAAGAGACTAAGTCAATTTACACAAACACAACAATTCATTAACCCATACCATTGTCATAAAATTTGTTAGGTGAATACTGCTATACTAATCGTAAGATAATTTTCTTAGTTGCATGTATTTTTATTAAGGGTCAACTATAACTACGTGTTGATTGTTATGTTTTATTCATTCTATAAATTGTGAATTGTTACATTAACCAGAAAATTTTCATCGTCAATGATAATGTGATTTTATATTGGTTAATCTGGTTAACCAATTAACCAAACCGATTAAACTTTAGTTTGGTTAATGTGGTTGTTATATTAGCTTGGACGGTTTGGTTATGATATTGTATTCCATGGTTAATGGAATTTAGCCTTATTTGATTTGGTTATAACCATGGTAACCATTTGAACACCCCTAATTGCCCTTGCCTCATGGGCTAAGATCAGATGACTAAGGGGGGGTTCTTAGTCACATGACTAAGTGAATCTCAACCCTTACACCTCATTAAAATTCAATAGCTCAGATTATTCCAATTTAATAAAGAGCAATGTAGTAATTGCATGACTTTATTAATTTTTAATTATTATTTAATTAAAAAGCACTATATTTCTGCCGCGTCTCTTTCCCAGGCGGAAATTTTCCCGGCGTCTACCATCTCTTCTGTCAGCCACCACCATCCTGGGAATTTTTCCGGTGTTCTTTTCCCTGTACCAACCGACGGTCTATTTGCAATTTTTGCGGCCTGGGAAATATATCCCCCCTCCATGGAGTTCGTAGCGCAGAGAGAGGGGGGGTGATTTTGTATCAATTCTATTTGTATCATTTTTCATTTAAGTTTGTCATTTTTATCTATTATGTTTGTAAATGTTTATAAGACTTATTTGTATACATTGTAATTTGTAATGTTTATTTGTCTAGTTTGTATACTTTATGTTGTGATTTGTATAATTTGTATTCATTAATTTGTAATACAAGTTTACTGTTTTGTATTGTATGTAGTGACATTTTGTACTATTAGTATGTTTTGTCATGTTTGTAGGTCTAGTTTGTATTGTTTCTATAGGTCGTATGTTTCGTATTGTTTGTAAATTTGTTTGTATGTTTTGTCACTTTAGTTTGCATTGTTCATATGTTTGTATGCTTTGTACTGTTTTTAAGTCCGGTTTGTATACTTCATAGTTTTCCATTATACCCAAACTACCCCTGTCATCAATTAAAAAGTCATCCCACTTTTTAACCGTCAGATTGGTGTGTCCAGATCTAAGGGATGGGAGGGGTTTAGTCAAGTGACTAAGCACCCCCCTAGTTACCACATACACCCTACTTGCCTCATGGCCTCTCTACGACTCGTAGCTTATCTCATTCCCACCAATGGTGGAGTTAGGTTGAAGTTAGGAGGGACTATAGTCCCGCTAAATTTTGAGATATAGGTAAAATTACATTTAAATTTGCACAAATTTAGAAATTAGAATAATCGGTAAGGCTTTATCCCCTCCACTAATTACGACAATTCAAATTAGCACCTCTCATTCGAATTTTTGACTTTGCCACTGATTCTCATAAAAGAAGGTGGAGGAGAATCCGCTACTAACATCCTCTGCAAACCTATCATTCTATGGTTATTAGATTTACTCTTTCCCCAATTACTACATCTTGAACATCACCGCCGTAAAACAAAAGATTCCATATTGTAAGTGATCCATGAAGATGACAAAGTCATCTAAACTACTAGGTCTATATACAAGACGTTTGCAGGTTAGGCTACTAAATGGTACTAAGAAAAAAACGTTGGTTGACAAGTGTACGATCCAACTCAACAAGGGACTTTTGTGCCACGGAATGGGCAGTCATATTATACCTTCGCTCCCCAAAATGAAACGTTGCACCCTGAAAAGATATATGCAGCACCTGGATTTCATGCAGGATAGCTCCGCTAATTGCATGTGACAAGTCTCTCGCATTAACCAGTCGTATGACAACCTGCGCATCACCACAAAACAAAATGTTAATGTATGATCCGTCAAACACCAACGAACTACATCCCAAAGAGCAAGGAGCTACATTAGGAATGCATCAAATATGAATGGGTAGTATCGGCTTAATGCAAAGGAGATGTGAGGAGGCACGAACATCCGAGAGGAAGAATCATCACCAGAATCATCACATGCGATAGTCGAACAATTGATAAAATATGACCAAAGCCCAACAAATTCCATAGCTCAACAGCAACACGACAAGACAAGAAACAATGTTCCAGAGTTTCAACCGACGATGAACAAACGGGACAAGAAAAAGCCTCAAAATCCTCGTCATCAATCAATCCCTTATCACACAAAACATCTCTTACCGGAAGAAAGCCTTTGACCAAATGCCCAAGAAAAATTTCAATTTAGGAGGAACTGGTAGAGACCATAACAACTTACATGCACGAGAATCGAAGATTATAGGGATAGTGGAGGTGTATTTGACAAATTCTGAAGAGGCAAGACAATACACAGATTTAACATAATACACCCCAGAATTCTCATAATGCCAAATAAGTCGATGAGACATAGGAAAGACAGAATGAATAATCAACAATATCACAACAACAGATGCTTCATCAAGCAACTCACGCACCAAATCCTCATTCCAGGTTCCTGTACCATGATGGATTAATGAAGAGACATTATGCGAAATCAAAACATTATTCTTCATCAAACAACTCACGCACCAAATCCTCTTTAGATGAACTACTAATCCTCTTGTTTTCATGTGATCATGGTAGTTTTTTTATTGACCGAAGGGACTTAAGTCTATGTCAATTAGTTCATTTTTCTGTAGAAGTAAAAGAATTGTACCAACATATAAACTAACAAAGTAATTAAGCGAACTAAAGTATAAAGTTCATTAATATAATTGCTTTTCAACTACCACTACTACTCCACTTAATAGGAAAGATATAAACCACCCCAAATCCCAATTACTTGAGATATACTATCATACTATTACAACGTACGTACTACAACACAAAGCATCTTTTAAGCCTAGTCCAGAACCCAGGACGTGCCACATTCCCACCAAACTGCTCTTCTTCAACGTCCTTGAACCTCGCCTTCTCACCAAGCTCCTGAAACTCGTCCACAAGGTTCTGAAGCCTGGCCACGAACTCAATCAAAAGAGAAGCAAACGTGGCCAAAGACAGAGAGCTAGCACTCTCGTAAACCTTGGACTCTTGCTCCAAATTCGGCACGGGCCCGCCCACAAACGAGATCCTCGGCCACGACAACGGCGGCTGCTGGATGCTCTCACACGACGCCGTCCATTCACGCAAGCTACTGCTCCTATCGTTGATGGAGTGGATGGCTCCTTCTTCGTCTTTCCCATCTTGGGCCTCATTTTCGAACTCCTTATTGGGCTGTTGTTTCCCGCCGGCCCAGCTCTCCGAGTTGACCAGAAGGTAGGATTTGAGATCCACTTTGGTTTGGAGCTCTTCTGCTGCCTCGTGGACTTGGAGGAGTAGGTCTGGTCCGGGGCTCAGCTTCTCCATTTTCTCTAGCTTTGTTCCGAGTTCGCGGAGCACTTTGGCTCCTTCGTTTCCTACTCTTTGTAGCTCGGCAGCAAAAACTTTTCTTTTTTCTGGTGGTGCCTGCAACATGAAGAGGAAGGCATGCAGTACTAAGTTAGAGCACACATAATATTTAGTGCTAATACCACTCTGGAAAATTCGAGCTATTAATTGAGAAAGTGTCCGAACTATTCAATATTTATATTTATGTCCTGAACTATTTTTTCATTAGTTTTGAGCAAAGTTTGACCGTCAATATTCAACAAAAAAATTCAGTCAGTGTCGACGTGGCATCTGATATGGAATTTTAAATATTAATTTTATCTAAAATTTATCTAAAATGATTAAAATAAGAAAAATAAAAAGTTACAAAAAAAAACCCAAATCGTCTTAATCGCTCCATCGATTCCGCTCCTAAGTCAACATCAAGTTCACCACCATTTGGTCAGCCGTTATCTATAACGGTTAACTGAATCGTCGGGACATAAATGACACGCAACTTGTCATAAACCAGTTGGTCCCAATAACTCGAGTTGTTGGGAGAGGTTCAATCGTGGATCATATACCACAACACTAACACAACTATCATACGTTATGAGATAAATGAAATGTTAAATAGTTCGGGAGACAAATGACACTTTCTTGTAGTTCGAATTTCCCAATGATAGTAGCATAGGAAAAAAATAAAGAATTCGTACATGCATACCTGAATTTCAGAAAGAATGCATCCATGCATAGCCATGACCATGAAAGCACAATGCCTCAGTGCTCCACTTACTTTCACATAGTTTTGCCACGGATAACAGAAGAACCCATAACGACCATGTGGTGGCTCCCATATAGCAAACCCTAGCTGCCAAGACCAAAAAAAAAAAACACACACACTCATTCAAACATTCATCCTCCCTCATATATCTAGAGCAACACATGCATGCAGTCAAAACATTACGTACCAATGCTTCCTCTTGACTAGTCGATTGCACTGCAGATCTGTACCCACTGTACACGGGATCATCGGAGCCTTGGTATATCAAGATCTTGGAAGGGATCCTCTCGTACTCCAAACACTGCAAGTAACCATTCACACAACCTTCCAACGAAGCAGCCACGCCCCTGAAGTTCTTCACCACCAACTTGTGGAGATCCTCGCCGGCCCATATCGGGTATATGCATATGTTGACGAGCAAGCAGACCCCGGCGCCGACGCCGATCAAGAGAAACCGGAAGATCGCGGTTCGGATGAAGGACGAGTCGATCCCGGATACCAGTACTATGCAGTATGTCAGCAGGAACACCCGGAATCCGTACTCGTACTGCTTTATGGGTGGGTAGAGTTTGGCGTAACTCGCGCAAAACCCGGAGATGAATATGCTGACTATTATGGCCACTTCTTGATACTTTCCAAAGTAGACGGACAACTCTGCGTTTCCGAGTGCAAGCGCCCCGGCTGAGAATGTGCCCAGGCCGCGATTCAATCCTTTGCTCAACGTGCCACCTGCAAAAAAAATGAGGAACATCAACATCATGTATCTAACAAATCAGGTTTAGTTTCCTTCGTATTCTACTATGTTATGATTTTTTATTTTATTTTTAAGTGCAATTGATTTTGAATGGAAGTTAAAAGATTTTGAATCCATTCAATTCACAAATTAAAGGGCTAAATTCCACTGGAAAGGTCAAACTTTATAAAAAAAAGTGTTATTTGTGTTGTAAACTATTAATTATGACAAATCTGGCACGAACTGTTTTTTAGTTAATGTTGACTGGCATTGACCGTTAGTATTTTAACAGAAAAAATCTAGTCAGCTTCCATGTGGTTTGTGCCAGATTTGTCATATCGAATAGTTTAGGACATCACAAATGTCACGGAACGCATATAGTTTGTGTCAGATTTGTCATACTGAATAGTATAAGACACAAATGACACTTTTTGAATAGTTTGAACTTCCTAGTGAAATCAGCTCTTAAATTAAATGAACAGAAACTCAAATAGTGAACGAAGAGGATAATTTTATCGCGTAGATAATAATACACACTAGTTAATTTGTTATATGATTTTTTTTTATTCAATAGTTATACTAGCACAGTAGCTCTTCGTGTATATATATAACTAGGTGGTTTTTGTAATAACACAAGTCCAATTCTTCCTAGTACTGCTTAATTACATTCAATCAAAAAGAGACATTTACAGTTTTGTATAATAATCACCATAGCTTATCAATTTTAAAAGTCATATAAATTAAACCTCTTCATCTCAATATGCATTGGAATAGGAATGTAATTATATAAAAAATGTCTAATATATTTGGTTTCGATAACATGCAAGTTACGTAATTTCTCAGAACCAAGCTAAAGATAAAAACAAGAAAAAAAGAAGGCAAAATACGATAAAGAGCGTTCTCCACACTTACCCACAGTGAACTCAAAGACCACCACGACAGTGATAATCGCCCAAATGGAATACTGGCTGGCGTCGTTCAAATGTCTTCTCATGATCATAAGCATCGAAACAGTGGCCAAAGAGAGACCCATTTTAATGGCGAAGAACACCTTCCTCGGATCAGATTTCCCCATCCTGTAAAGGTCGACCAATACGCTAGGGATCCCGTTGAAAAACCCGACGATCCCGTCGGAAAGCGATCGGAAGCATCCACACTTGACGTTAGAGTTGCCACCTTCTTCATCGTCGTCGTCTCCGTCTTGGGAGTTGTTGAACCCGAATTCGGAGTACCCTTTTCGTGATAGCAACCTCTCTTTGCTCTTTTCCTCAAATTTGTCGTGTTTGGTGGATGACTCGATTCCCTCGGCGGACGCCATCTCTCACTCGGGAAGAAAAACTTGTTTCTCTCTTGTTTTGGTGAGATTGAAGATTTCACCAATTTGAGGCATTCAGAAACAACTCGCTAAACTCGGATCTTGCTTTGCAAGTGAGCTTTTTTTTTTATGTGGTGTTGAAACTTGTAATTGGTTTTGTGATGGTCGGGGGAGCGATTGTCGCTGACTTCTTCGTTGGTTTCTTATTGTTTTTATGTATTTTCAATCATTGGTAAAATTGTCATCATCGATCATAGTCTAGTTTACGATCTACTTGGAATTTTCAACTCACCATATTACATATTTAAAAAAAAAAATCTAGACAAAATTATAAAAAATGGAACTTTAAGTGAAAGTTTGTGTGGTAAAGTCATTATTTGAATGTCGTTTCTTATCTAAAGGTAATCCATTTGCTCAAAGAAAAATGAACTCTTAAGATTTAGGGATGGTCCGACCCGCCCTGACCCTTCCCTGAAGGGTGAAGATGTATAACTGACCCATCTCGACCCTATTTCTTTCATGACCCTGTCTGACCCTTTAGGATCAGGGCGGATCAGGAAGGGTCGGGTCAGTGGGTCGACCCTAATAAATACACTACTTTTCTAAAAATTACAATTTGGTACCCAAATTTATTTTTTATTACATTTTAGTACATAAATATTATTTTAGTTACAAATAAGTCCCAAAAATTTGATGGTAAATTTTTTTTATTTTTATAATTTAGCACCTAACTTTTAAAATTTTACAAATAGGTCCAACGTGTTTGTATGATGCTAAGGGTCATAAGGTCAAAAAAGTGACCCGACCCTAATTTAACCCGACCCTACTTGACCCGACCCTAAACTGACTAGGTAGGCAAACTGACCCAACCCAACCCTAAGAGTCGGGACGGGTCAGTGGGTTTTAAAGCTCAAACTTACACCCCCTATTATGATTGGTCTTGCTAGATAGCGGTAATATAAAAGATCAATATTGACCACACCTTTCCTTCGAGGGCTAACAATCATATTATTATTATCTCTTTAAAAGAACAAGTTACAAGTTTACTGTTTGGTAGAGTCACATCCCGCCACTGTTACTTTTTGCTTTTTACTTGTTCTCATCATTTCTCAATTGGCTTTTCTACGTTTTGGAGTTGGGTAAAGTTACTTCCATTGGTGCACTCTTCAAGATCTTTGGCATGCTTGAGTCACTTCCCTCTGACAACCAAGACTTTTCTTCCCCAACTCTTTCTTTGTTGCTTTACTATCCCACATTTCCTTATCCTTCCCCTCTCTCTCGCATACCCTTTCCCAACCACCCACTCTCCTCTCTCTCTCTGCCGAGAAAGAAGAAAATGGACAGAAAGAAGCCTCTCGTATTACGTTAGAAGGAAGAGGAAGGAAGATCTGATCAAGAAGAAAACATAAAAGGAAGGATCTAGCCGACATGGCGGAGAGGAAGTTAGAAAAAGGAAGGATTTGAGTCAGGAAGACGTGAACGGCGACGGCGGCGATGGAAAGCAGGCAAACAGTTACGGTCCCAACTCCCAGCGACGGTGACTCTGGGAGGGTTTACCGATCATGAACGCTGATGCCCATCTATCGACGGATGTCTAAGGTTTGTTTCCCTTTTCCTTGTTGGTGGGTTTGGATTTTTTCCCTTTTCCTTGTTGGTGTGTTTGGATTTTTAATTTATTGCTTTCCCTTTTCGTTTTGGGTTTTCGAGTTCAGAGAGGTGGCAGGACAAAGGAACCATTGTCGCCGGCGGAGATTTTTGAAAGCAGCAGAGACAAGGGGTGCTGACCACTGCTCTCTGGGTAAGTTCCTTCTGTTTTGGTTTTGTTTATATTCCGAGATATGCCTTTCTTTCATCTGGTTCTGTTAAGTTTATTTTCTCAGTCTGATTTTAGCCAATGGGATTTCAGGCAAGGGATGAGGAAGAAGAAATCATCCTCGACATTCCCGGATCTTGCTGTCGACGACAGCTACGGCATAGTTGTCTGGGCAGAGAGAACAAATGTGTAGGTAATTTCAATTTTTTTTTGTTTCTTTGGTGATTGACTTTTCCCCTGAACGGAATTTGATTTTAATTTTTTGGACTTTGTTTCGTAGTAAATAGTCCGCTTGGGTCTTCTCCACCTCATACAGTTCGCCTTCTTCTCTGACCCATTCTTACGATCTCCAGATTTCACACTTTCTTCTCCGACCCATATATGTCGTATTGCATTTGTTGGTGTGATTTATTTCCTCTCTTTGGCAACAGGTTTGTAGAATTCAGGTTTGTGTTCAACGATGATTGGTGTTGATTCAGTTGGGAAGGTTAGTTTTTGGTCTTCCTTTTACACTATCGTTTACCTCGCATTACCAATTTCATCGAGTTTGCAGCTTATTCATGTTTAGCTATGTTTCTTTGCCATATAGCTCCCATCGAACTCTTTCACCACTCTTACTTCGAAGAAGAACAAAATAGGAGGATAGAAAGCAAGGTGCCTCCCTCTCTTTCCTTTCGTTTTTTGATCCCTTTTTCTCCTTTAGTTTCAGTTTACACCTTATTTGATATGTTCGAAGTATCTGTATCTTAACCTAGGTGCTTTACCCTTTTCTCTTGGTTGGGTCTCTTCTAAATTTTTTAGTTTTGGTGTAAAAAGTATTGCTTCCGCAGTCCTGTCTTTTCACCAATGTGTTCAGTAAATGGAGATGGCGGAGGAGAAGCCTCTTTTTTAGTAGTGCAGGAAAAATTGCTTCTGCAGGACTGTCTTGTGACCATCTTATAGTCTTTTTGTACGATAGATCATTAATTTCCTTCCAAATTGGTTTCTCAGGGAGCAAGGGGATTGTGGAGACAGCTGGTCCATCCTCAGTTGTGAAGTGATCACGTACAGCTTAAGCTACAGGTAATTTCCTTGAGGGAGCAAGGAGTCAAGGGACCAATCCATTGCCTCAAGCCACTTAACTAACATGTACCGATCGTCATGAATGAGTTTCAGATCCATCCGCCAATCATGGTAATCCTCTTTGTCTTAAAATGCCGATCAAACCTCTTCAACCTAACATCCGGTTTTTGCTTCATTTTGTTTTTTATTAAATTTGTCATTTCAGTCCCTCATTGTAGGCCTCTCTGCCTTTACAAATGTTATTTTGTTGATTTAGGGTTTATAAATGGTACACAACAGATAACATCATGAATTTGTGGCTATGCAGCATGCAAATGAATTCTTTTGTGGTTATGCAGTATACAACACAATTATATTATTGTTCATGATCAATTGCTTATACATATTCCTTGGGTATGGTTAAGCAGAATGCAACATTATGATTTTGTGGTAATGCATCATATAGCATTGCATAAACCTTAATTTTGGGGTTGTGATGGGTTGTACAAGTTCTTTTGGAGCTTTAAAGGTAGAGGACTTGAAGCAATCTGGGTGGGTTCACCTTCATCCCAATCATGTATATGTATTGCTTCTGAGGTGTTTCTATCAATTGTTTATATGGCATTTATATCTCCTTGCCTGGGCTTACAAGTGTATCAGAGTCAATGTAGGAATTGTGGCTCAATCTGTTGTTTTTTACTAAGTTGGTTGGATATGGGAAATTGAGTTGCTCTGCCTTATAGTTCTTAATCATTCAAAATGATTTCTACAGTTTCCTACGGACTCCTCCTTCCGCTTAATTTACAGTTCTTTTACTTCATCTTGCAAGGGTTTACAGAGTTATTAGAGTTTATATTCATGCTGCCTCTCGACCAAGCATAGCCATAGTCATCTTGGATAAGAGCGTGAATCGTGGATCTGAACTAGATGGTCTACTTCCTTCAGTTTGTTGCAGGGTGTGAATGTCCTCTTCCCGATCCTTATTTGCCTGGACACGGTTTTGATTCATGCTCAGAGATTGTTTTTGTTTCATGTGGTTTGCAGGTATGGAGTTGAGGAGTTATGGGCTGAGCTGTAGTCATCTTATTTGGTTGCAACATATAAATTGGTGAGATTTGTAGCCTGCAAACAATCTCAATTTCTTAGCATTCTGTAATAGAAATAGAAGTATTTCTATACGTATTCTGGAATCACAGAGCAGAAGAAAAAGGAAGTTCCTAAAATTAAAACATGCTTTTTCATGTTAATTTCTCCCCAACCCACTATTTCATTCAAGCGATATTGGTGTTTATGTGCTTTCTGCCCAGAAATGAGAAAATGAGGGTGAAGAAGAAGGGGAGGATGGTGGAGACATAAGAGTCTCCTCCAGTTGAAAACCGCGCTGCTGCAGATTTTCAGAGGTGAATCAGTGATCCTCTTGCTAACATAGGAGGCTTTGGGTTTCACCGCTTTACTGCATCTCCCTTGATGCGGTTTTAGTTCATTCTCCTGGATATTAGGATTGACTTGTCTTTTTAGAACTTGATCTTATCTTTAGGAGTCTTTATATTGATTGGGAGTTCTACTTTGATGCCTGATTTATTTGATTGCTAAGTGTTTCCTGAGTTAATGCGTTTGCTTCCCTATTCATTTGGTTTTATCTGCTAGAGTCTTTAGATTGATTTGGTTTGCCTCATAAGAAAAATATTTATTAGCATTTCTCTAAATTTGCAGATGGTGAAACCTCCATGTTTTTTAACTGCAAGAAGCGCTGGACCAACACTAGCAACAACCATTGTTGTTGAAATCAGTGATAGCGATGATGCAACTACTCCTTCAAAGGCTCTAGGTTCTCTTGAAATCAAACAAGCTACGAACCTCCTCTAAGGTAACCAATATGCAATTTTAAACTTTTCCCTTTGTCCAAGTGAATTATATCATCATATGAACATTAAGCAGTAAAAGTATATGCAACTCATTGGTTGGTTTGTTTTGATTCTATGTTTGGGGCATTTTAAGGGTTTTGATATGTTTGTTGATTTTGGCGGAAGAAAAGAAAAAAGGATCGGCCACCTGCAATCTGAGATTTCGACACTGCTAACAAGAGGGGGAACTTTGTTTGGGTAAGTTTTTATTTATATTTTCTAAGTTTGTTTGTATCTTTTTAATTTGGTTTTGATTTTCAAGGATTCTAACTGCTTGTGCCTCTTGCAAATTTCCATTTTGAGAAGATCTCCCTTCTCCAACATGGCCTCTTTTGCCCAAACCATCTCCGATCCATGCCAGCGTTTGATCAGGTTAGTCCTACGCCTTCTCCTGAAATGGTAATCTTAGAATGATGGATTTGCTCAGTTTTGTGATGCTGAAACGCATTGAAAACCTCCATTCCAGTGTTGGTCATTCAACTGGCGATGGAGACAACTACGCCATTACCAAGGGTATCTATCAGACGCTGTAGGACCTGCGCATAAGTTTGTTGTTCTACACCGTTTATGTTTTTGCATGGTGATTAGACTGGTTTTTGGTTATGTGAATTCTTTTACTTTGGTCCCAGCCATTTCCCCCACAAACTAGCTTTTTGTTCGATGCCATTAGTGGCCAATTAAGTTAAGTTTCATTTGCTCCTGCTGTTCTAGATTTGCCCGAAGGAATGTAAATATACACTTACATGCTGGTAACTGGATATGATTCGCCATTTCATATCCGACTGCTCCTTTGTAATCAAATGACACACTATTCTCATGCACAACAATGTTATCTATTCCCCTTTGAATTGTAAGATACTCACCCAATTAAGGGGAACATATATAGCATGCCTATCAATATTTTGTTGTGTGATTTCTCAGGACATATTCTCTTTGATTATCTTCGATTAGTTTAGGGGTTGCGAAGTTCTTAATTTTCACACCACAAGAGTCTTAACACTTTTTATGGGTTGCAGGAATGGAGTGAAGGCCATTTGTCATGGAGTTGTACGCTGTTTTGCCGAGTAAAAGGATCATTCCGGGGGATTCAAGAAACACACTTGATTCGAAGGATTGTTTTCACAAGGTTTGAAACCAAAGCTTTGATTTCAGAGTGTACACTTTCTTTTTGCATAATGGCGGAATCTGACAAAGAATTCTTATCTTTTTTTTTATAGCTGAATGCAGAATTATGTGCCAGCAAAACCAAATAACAAGTGAGGCCACTGCAACTATAGAAGGTGAGACTATCCATTGGCTATGTGCTCTTAAACTCGCAATTTGCAGCAACGTTAAACCGTACAGTGAAGAAAAACATATGTTTCGGCCAACATATGCCTCTTGTGAGACTATATATGTTTAGCTTTTGAGTATAATATGTGCTTCTCCTTAATTTTACTTCCTAAGGATGTAAAGATCAAATTATTATATAGTTTTGCTGATTAGTTCTTTATATTTAATCTTATTGGGTTTGGTATCCATGAATTTGTTCTTATTTATAGCATGCGTGTTAATTGTTGTGCTATCATGCGATGTATGCCAAGTAACCAATATGTTTACTCTCTTTGCTATGATTGCCCTCACCCGTCTTGCTCATAATTTTGTAGCGTAACCATTCACAGAAACAATTTCAGGATTTAGGAATCGCTGGCCATCCCAGATTTAATGCTATAGACATCAGAGAACTACATAAGCTTGAAAGAAAACTGGAATATGTTATGACCATTTCCTTTATCGTTAATCAGGGATTGCATATGTTTTTCCCTGGATATCTTTAAGCAGGACAAAGGGGAGTAAGTTTCTACTCTCTTTTGTTTTATTTCTTTTCGACATTTCTGTTTAAGTTTTATCTTCTTCCTTTTTTTACCCATTTGGAATTCAACATCCTGTCTTTTCTGCGCGTTAACAACTTGAAGCATCTAGGACAATATCGTATGGACATGAATGATCGAGATTGAAATGAGCTATTTTTAGCAATGTTAGATGGTGCCACCATGCTGGTGATGAGGAGATGATTAATGGTTTCTATGATGCATTGTTTTAACTTTTCCCAACTGCACACATTCTAAACTAGCTAGCTTTCGTTCTTTCACGAGTCAGTTGTGGAAATAAATTTTGCCTTGGCTTATGATGAGTGTTCATTTGTAGACATGGTGGGTGCTCATTTGGGAAAATTATCTTTTGGTCTTCCTTTTACATTTTGTTTAGTCTATTTTGTCAATTTCACCGACTCTGCAATTTACTCATGTTACTTTTACGATATAGCTTGAAACTGGACCTGGATTTGGATCTCACTTCTGCACATCCTTTCTTATCCCATACGTTCTGCAGTAGTAAAGTAGGTACTTTTTATGAGTTGCGCTGCCTCTTTTTCTATTACATGGTTTAGATCTGTAGATAATCCTATACTATTTTTGTTGTCAGGTAGTCCATTCTTCTCTCTTTGTTTAGTTTTGTTCTTTGCTTTCTGCTCTTTTATCTCATGACATAGTTTAGTATAAATTCTTATGCATAAACAAACTTTCCTTTTCAATTATATAGTTACTGTGCTTGCTTTGTAGGTTTGAGAGTTTTGTTCGCTTTTGCCTAAGTGTATTAGCATAAGTAGGCTTCTGAATCTTTTGACTCTTTCAGAAGTTCAATTATTTGTGTCTTTAAGGATTGTTGGATGCCCTTCATACTGAATTCGAAACGATTACAAAACTGAGGATTGAAGAGTTTGCGACTTTTTAAACTTCTAATGCAATGATCAATGTCAAAGAGTTTGTGTTGGTTGCAGTAGGTTGATGTTTCCTTATGTCCTTTGCAGGCATACCAGACGTAGCAGTGGGATTGAGCCATTATTAAGGGATTTGATGTTCAGATGATGACGAAGAAGACATCAGTAATTGATTACATAAGCTACAGTTTCCTGACCTCTATTCAATGATTATTTATTCAGCTCAGCCCGGCGTAAGAATTATTTATTTTGGCTTGTAATTTATTCACATTGTGTTCTTCAACTTGAGAACCAGCAGTAGGACCTTCAGCTCCATCATCTCAAAGGTCTGAGTTTGAGAGAGCAAAAGAAACCAGAAAAATTAATTACCTGCAACACACTATTATTGGGATCAATGAAATTGATTTGTTTCTAACAGAAGAAGATGTTTTTTACTCTTTAGTGGTTGTTACATACCTAGGAATCTTAGACTGATCCAATTGAATTCTTATCCTTGCAATCTTCCAAACTACTTTTTGTTGGGCTTCTGGTTACTGCTTGGTAGCTTTAATCGCACACTGTTGCTTACTAGGTTTACCGTTATCATTAAGTAACGTCAAGCTCTTGCTTTGGTTGCATTTTTATTTCATACCATTTGAAAATGCAGTCAAAACCTTTGAATAACTACATCAATCTCTATTCATACAAGGTTCGGTGAGGCGTAGTTTTCCTGGTGAAGTCTTTTTCGATATGCCAGGTCATGAATCTTACTTAGACGTTTAGAGTTTTTCTTATGATGATAATCATGATGGAAACTCATTAGCTGTAGTTGAGGTTTATAAACCAAACTTTAAAAGATAGGTTATGATGAATGAAACAAATAACTAATGTGCCCTCCTGTTGAAATAGTAAAACAAAATAGCAGGAGTCGTAAGAATCGAGTTGAAGAAACCAGAACAACCATGTGAAGCAACATCGTTAATTGCTTCTAGCTCGCACAAATGTGGTTAGCTTATCATTTCATAGCAAAACATGAATGAATTGGTGCTCAATTTCGTTACAGCCTTTCCGGAGCAAATTTCTTGCAATTCACAATATATAAGTATCTTTTGTCGGAAATTCTATCGTCAAATTGGAATAGATGGATGCAACTCGACAAGTTATATTTAAGAATATGCGCTCAAATTTGTTAGCGGACTAAATACTTGCACTAAGATGTATTTCAAATGGTAGAGTGGTGCATATGAGAGATACATTTCTGGTTTCCGTAACTTTGAACTTTGTTGATGACATGTTCTACAATTCCCAGACCTCTATTATAATTTCTTTAAATAGTCTAATTGATTGATTTTAAAATGAGTTAATTATCCTAACATGAGGCATCGTTGACAACACCAGTGCAGAAACGAAGTCGTCTATGGAATCAAGAGTGACACGGGAAAGAATGTTGAGGGCCTATATAAAGATGAAGTTGGTGGATGCTTTTATTGCACTATAAGGGGTATTGAAATCAACGGGGTCGATGACAGTATTAGGACAAGGAAGCCTCTCTTTCTCTATTGGAATCGGGAAAAAAAGGACTCCGGTCATCCTCTTTGAATCGACAAACTCAGGTGGTTTCGTTTCCGTTAGGGTTTATATTTTGTTTTTCTCGCGTCTGATTTGGTGCTTTCTTGCTGCTCAATTCAGATCTTAACTCTCTCAACTGTTGCCTAAACCTTCCCTCTAGGTTACTTGAGGTTTGATTTTAAATATAGAGCAGCTCTCAATGATTGAATTTTTAAGATCCTGGAGGTATTCAACATCTCCACCATTTTCAACAAGCATTTACATAACTTCCAGTTGCCCCACCATCACCAACTGGCACTCTTTTACATCACATTCAATGCAAAACAGAACAATATCTAAACTGTATTTTCCCAATTAATCAATTTGACAGCGACCAATATGTACTGCTGCTTTAGTTAGCAACACCCGCTTTGCAATACATAATAATATTATGTGCCTAATGTTTATTTCCAGTGCAAAGTTTATAGATGTACAAATCATCCTGTTTTTTCTTAAATCGCATGTTCTCTACTAAATCTACTCATGGGCACACAAATATGTCAATTTCCAAAGCAAACTCCACATCTTTCCAATACGATCTCCCCGCCGCGGAGCGCGGGTTTCCTTGCTAGTTAAGAATAAAATACCCAATGCTTCATTGAATCATTATGATTCTTAAACTGTTACAATTAGGGTCTCGGCAGTTCCGAAACAATTATTTGAGATATTAACATGTGATTTATCATTCCCTTAATTAATGATTTAGTTAAAAAGAATCAAGAATTTTTTTTTCTCTTGTTCCATCCTCCCTTGATCCCATTTTAGCCAACACAGATCGCCACGTGTCGGAACTCTAACATAGAGTCCGTCGTCTTTAGCGACCCAGTACATGTTGCGATCGTACTCGTACATTCCGGCGACGTGATCCGTCCACGCATCAAAACGGAGGTGGTGGCTGTCGTCGGGGGCCACGTAGCACCAATAGAGAGTCGACACGAAGGCAAACCCCGGCCTGAACCGCCACGTAAACTCTTTGGTAGGGTCGATCTCCTGGACCCCGAGATCGCTGGTGGCGGACTTGCAGTGGGCAAGCAACACCTTCCCGCCGGTGAGCTCGTTGGTGACGTGTACATGGTGGTACGGCCATAAGGAGAACGCCGTTACGGTGGTAGCAGAGAGGAGTAGGTTGGCGATGATGGTGCTCAGAATTATTGAGATAACTCTGTTGTTGCTTCCCCTCCCCATAATAACAAGTATAATAGAATCGTCTTGTCACTAAATATGTATTTTACTGTATATATATATATATATGCGGGAATTCTGTGGTGCAGTCACTGTATCTGTGCCGGCGATTAATCTAACCGGTTTGGTTTGAAAAAATTGGTCCAGATTTAATCAGACCATAAAATAAAATAAAATAAACAAATTCCGTATTTCCCGAGTCCCCACTCTTCCTTCGTCCTTAAAAAGCATCATCGCCGCCATAGCTTCCGGTCGGCCATCACCACCATCGCCTTTGCCACTGCAATCCCACCTCGCTCTTCTGTGAAGACAAAATCTAGATCTCGACTCCTACCGATAGTCTAAATCACCATCGCCATCATCGTTGTTGCGGCCGCTAAGCCATCCCCAGTTCACCGTCATCGTGTTGTCGGCTAGGGCTGGCTATTTGGATCGGGACCGGATGAAAAACCGAAAACCGGACCGTATAACCCGGACCGAGACCGGACCGGGACCGGATAGTAAACAATCCAATCCAATCTTTGGGCTTAGATTTGAGGTAAAAAACCGGATAAAGACCGGATAAGAGAGCTCAACACCCAAAAGTTAAGGGTAATTTGCATAAACGGTCACAAACCTTTGCACTTAGTACAAAACTTAACCAACTCCTCACCCTTTTAGGCCTTAGGCCACTCAAATTCCCACAATCTCAATATAAAATCAAGACCGAATTGGGACCGGACCGGGTCAAGACCGGACCGGATCAAGACCGGACTGTATCCAATCCAATCTTCGGTCCTTATATTTTCAAAAAAACCGGACTGGACTGGATCAATTTGGGCCAATTTAACCGGACCGGACCGTATAGCCACCCCTATTGTCGGCCGGAGAATTTTGTCAGAATTTAATTCTTTCCAGCGGCTACTTGGTCAGTGATTACATCGATTGAGGTGAAGAAAACAGGCACAAAGGAAAATTTGGATTAATCTACTGTCCGCTAGTATTGGATCTTCAGTTGTTGGCGATCAATTGAAGATGATGGTGAAATTACAGTTCCGATATATATTACCTTGTTTTATTAGGGAGAACTCTCCAGCTAAATCATAGAGCTATTTTCAACTTTTTGTGTGCTCGGTAAAGGAGAAATTTCTTGATGAAAAATACACAAATGATTTAAAAGAAAATTTAGGTGGACAATTAACCGAAATATTAGGTTTGACCGATTTTAATTAGGTGTTGGTTAGTGATCAAAGGCTGTGATTTAATATCATGTAATCTCACGGCAGCAAATTAGGCGGCACGGGTGCTGGCACGACACTACAGAATTCGCCATATATATGAATTGTAAAGCCGTTTGTTTTCTTTAAGGAATTCAATCTATATGTTGTTCTTCACTAAATATACATGCACATTGTATAGACAAATATTTGTCTTGAGTAGTTAATGCCTTAATGGTGCTGATAAGTTTTCATAATAAAGTATTGAATTGAAGATATGGCAATTATATCTATCTTATCTTATATTATGCAATCGGCAGGGGTGCCTATTATTAAATGTTCTACTATTTCTTTCCGTCCCAAAAAGGAAGTTATTTCCATAGAAAAATAAGGTAACTTGTTAGTATAGTTTCTTTTTAATTTATACATGAGATTGTGTTTACATAATAACATAAAAAAAGTAGTTATAAATCTTTTTTTTTTTATAAACAGAGCGCAGAGGGGCGCTCTAACCCTTAATTATTGATTAAACGAGGAGTCTGGACTCCAACGAGGTCATAATACAGCCAGTAGTTCATCATCGGACTCGGAACATCAAACATATGAACGCCAACAGGCATCGAGTGCCCGATGCTAGCCATATAATCAGCAACAAAATTGCTTTCCCGGAAGACATGCTTGATGCGCACTTCCCAGTTCAGCTCCAGAAGTCTGCGCGCTGCAGTAATCATCGTGCGGTGCTGGTGGTGCTTAACTTCGGTACGAAGTAGTTGTACTGCCGTCAAAGAATCGGTTTGCAGCTCCACCTTCCGAGCGCCTTTCTCCCACGCCATCCTCAACCCCCAGACTATGGCCGCCAGCTCCGCGTGAGTAATGGAGCCACCGCCCAAGTTGGCTGAGAAAGCAGAAATAAACCTGCCATTGTAACTTCTCATAACCCCCCTGCCGTCATACTACCCTGCCCAAGCAGAAAAGCTCCATCTGTATTCACACACACCCAATCACTCTCGGGCCCTTGCCAACTAATTAAGTGTGGACTACGAACACAGCTACCACCTGTCACCCGCCTTGTATTATTAACTGCACTCGACACCTGGGCCCGCAAACTCTGAACCAAGGAATGAAAATGGTCAGCCGAGGCTAGCTCCTTCTCAAACACCCATCGATTTCTGTTCTTCCATACCTGCCATCCACAAACAGCAAAAAGTGTAGGATCAACGATAGAGCTTCTGCCTGAGATATAATGCATCACCCACCTGCTCAAGCCCTCTTGAAAGAACACTTCATCAGGTTCGCCACTCAGAAATTTTGACCAGACCATTCGAGCATATGGGAAATCACGTAGCACATGTATCCTCGTCTCGGGATCCTCCCCACAGATCGAACAAGCACTCCCTTGCGCCAGATGGCGACGACAGCGTTCACTGTTAGTTAGGAGCCTATTATGAAGAACAAGCCACAAGAACGATCGTGTGCGTTGCGGTCCTGGCGTACACCAAACTGCCTTCCAAACCGGGTCTCTACCCCCATCACCGCCCGCACTCCTGAGCATCTCCCACGCCGTTTTCAACGTAAATTTTCCCGACTGTGAGAATCTCCACGTCGGGACGTCGGGTTCAGTTTCATGCGGAACTGGGTGAAGAAGTAATTGATCCGCTATATCATCTGGCAAGAAGGCCCTAACAAAATAGATATTTCATTCTCCGTTCAGCACCATTTCTGCAACCTTTAGATTCCTCGCCTCAGTTGGCAAGCCTTGAGTAAACTCGATCAAAGGTGGTCCTTCTTGGAGCCAACAATCGGTCCAGAAACAGGTCTGCATGCCACTCCTAATGCTCCACATTACCCCTTCCGGAAGCCGATGAAGCACCCGTAGAACTCCTCTCCACAAGTTTGACAGTCTGCCTTGCCTTCGTGGTTCCCATCCCTCTACAGTACGCTTGAGATACTTCCCTCTGATAACCCGAGCCCATAAGCTATCTTGTTCAGTGAGAAGGCGCCAAGCAATCTTCAACATAAAAGCCTCGTTCATATCCGTGGCAGTACGCAAACCCAAACCCCCTTCTTCCTTTGGCCTACACACTATATCCCAGTCAAGTAAGTGGATTTTCCGGCCTTGCTCCGAGAGAAAGGGTGATGATAATAACACTTTTAATCTAGATAATAAATAAAAGCCGAATGATGAAAACTGTTGCTCCATTTCAAATTTCCTGTAACGAGAGTGATTATAGGAAGGATATTTTGGTCTTCACAATTGCTTATTTTCTTATTTATTTATTCATAAAAAAGACATGCACTGGGATTTGAACCTTGGTCTCTTTAAAGGCAAGCAAGGATCATAACCAATCACACTAAGTATATTTGTTGTATCTATTTAAATTCAAACATACACGAACCTAAATTATGAAAATCATATGACTTTTTTAACGATTAGTTGGCCACTGAATCTCCCGTAAGTACTTATTTGGTGTTTTAATACTTTGATTATTTTAGTTGTAGTTTAATACTTAATTTAAATTTCTATCTATTTTATAAATATACAATAACCCTAAAATTGCAGCCCAAATATCACTGGTTCGAATATTGCATATCGAATTGCAATATTAAACATGTAGAAGCAATATCGACTTCTTAAATTAATATTATTTTTCAAAATTACTATGGAGAAATTATATCTTTGTGCAAACTATATGAGACTGGTTCTTTTAATGTTTTAGTCGGGATAACCGCTACATTTTAAACTTCTTCATAATCTGGCATGATTGGATCCAATGATCATTATACAAGATTGTGTTTAATAGGGTGGCTCATTTCACCACTTTTTGGCGTGTTAATGAATTTGTAGGACAATGACAGGTCTACATCTACACTCATCACAATCTACACATCATATAAATGTGAAATGTGAAATGAGAAAAGAGGGATTCCATTTCAAATTTGATGCGTACAGAGCAATTTTTTAGGGGTAAATTTAGAAGATGCCAGTGCGTTCGGTCTGTTGAGCACGAAAGTAAAAATATGTTTTCATTTAAACGGGCCCAAACTGTTATTTGGCCCACTAATCGTGCACCCATCGCCAATGCAGTCAAATTCGGGATTTTGATCGTAAAATCGTAGGATTTTAGGATTTTACTTAGGGATTCCGATCTTGATTTTACTATAAAATCGGTGGACCTTAAAATCATTTAAAATCGGGACTAAAATCGTTAAAATCGTAAAATAGTACCGAAATCGGGATTTTGATCGTAAGAGAACAAAATAGGTGGTTTGAGCCAATTTAAAATAAGTATAATTGTTTCAGCGGAAAGGGCAATGGAATCTTCTCAGATATTTTTCTATTAGAAAAATATTCAAAAATAATAAAAATAACCAAATTAGGGTTCGGTTAATCTCTTTCCCTTCACCCCATTTAACTTATTGGTAAAACACCTGTCCTAATATTGGAAGTATGTAAGAACTAACATCATTATTAACTAATTAATTTATTAATGAATATATTTGTACCAAGCCACTAACATTACTTATTTTATTGGAGTTCAATTATTTTTAGTTTTAAATCATACTTAGTAGACGATGTCGAAATATTACTTTGAGTTAAACAACCTAGACATAACATGAAAATAAGAGCCAAACCCATGAACTATATCCCTTCATCATGAATTATTTTGATTTACACATTAAATAACAATTAAAATAGTGATTTTGGAACATTAATCTTGAGAATTATCTTATGGAAAAAAAATCTTCTGAATTATCATTTTAAATGCTATGTGTCTTTGTGATATTAATAATTTACCTTATTAATATTCTTATATGCTATGTTCTATATGGTACTTAAAATCCTACGATTTTACGATTCGATTATACGATTTTGATTTTACCCCAGTTTTCGATTTTAGGTAAAATCTCGATTTTAACTGCTTTGCCCATCGCAGCCTCTCCAAATCTTCCTATTCTACTCGCCGGGTCATCTCCTCCACTACAAAATATCTCCTCATGTACTCAAAGTTCTCACTGAAACCTAATATCTACAACTTAGGCGTAGAGGGAGCAACCGATGGATTGTAGCGACCCCCACTATTTTGATAGCTAATCAAGAAGAGCGCGTTTGTTTAGTTGTATGGTGATTCACTTAATTAACAATTTTTATTCCGTTGACAGCCTCCTCTCCGCAATTGTATTGTGTTCACGAAGATCTGAAGGCGCAAGTGCAATAGGTCCAGGGGTAAACAATATGTATAAAGCGTTGGCCAAATTGAATCGAGTCATTCTACTTGAAATATGAAGATTTTTGCTTAATTGCTTTGGTTCGTGATGCAACTATGTTATGTTTGAAGGTAGACCAACGCAAACAACAGCACAGCTCCAGGGCTATTCTGCACATTAGGTAGTTGGGGCATTAATTGATAATTATTTGGGATTATTCCTACAAGTACATAATTTGGAACGTGCCTTTATATTGCATTGATTAATAGTTGTTTGAGATTTTTCAAATGAGTGATTTGACATGTTAAACTCTCTTATTTTTGAAAATGGAGTCTTCGAAGTGGAATATGAAGATTTTGGATTAAGCTTGGTTTCGTAACGCCCTTATGGGTGTTTATTCTCTAAAATGCAGTTGTCTTTCAAAGTGCCCGTTGCAAATGGCAAGTCAGGATACAACGATGGTACCGGTACACGTTTATATCATTACTAGGTAGCAGATTGTGTCCATTCTACTATATCATTTAGCTAAATACTTAGTTGTTCTTTTCAACTAAAAATTATGCTTAAATGTTGTGATTGGCCTCAGAAATGTATGTCTTTGCATTAACTGTTAATGATTGTGAGTTTTGGTTTAATGGTGAAAAATCCATTTATTTAGAAGTCTAAATTAGGCAAACCTATTGGACAATAGGAATGCCATACATTAGTGTCGTGGGAGGTTTGTTTGATGTCTCATGGTGTTAGATTTTTAAGAAGGTTGTTTGTTGTGGCAGAGAGTCCCTAAAGCTAGCGAGGTATTCCTATGTGGGCTTTTTCTTTGTTTGACTTTTTCTCGCCTTTTTTCTTATCTATTTTTCTATTTTTGGTTTTTGTGTGCTACCTTCAGTTGCTACGTCTTCATTTGTGAGCCATCTATACTTTTCTTATTCAGTGCCTAAAAATCATATATACTCGATTGCATAGTAGTTACTAATAGATACATTTATACCAATAGATAGATTTTAAGTTTTATCAGTTGTTAGTTTTAATATTTACTTACATTGGTTGTTTATGTAGTTTTCTTTGTAATATTTCTCATCATACAACTAATTATTATGGCTGCGTAGTTGTATAAGTGGGGGTTGAACATGATAGTTCTTAGAAGCATCAATACTTGAAGGTTATTATAATGACCAAATTCTAAAGTTATGGTTTGCCTTCAACTTGCTTGGAGCATTTCAATTATGCATCAATTGTTCTCTCCGTGTAGTTAACTCTCAGACAAATCGAAAATCTTGCCGATATGTGCTTGATTGTAGTTAAATTTAGGGTTCTACTGCATTGTTGCTTTACTCTTTTTTCGTGGTTGAGTCTGCTTCAAAAAATTTAGTTTGATTTTAGAAAATTTTGCTTCTGCAGTCCTGTCTTGCCACCAACGCGTTCAATAGATGGAGACGGGAGAGGCGAAGGCTATTTTTGTGTTGTTGTTGCTGGTTTAGGGATCGGTTTGTGAAGAAGAGGGAGAAGAGAGGGGGAAAGGGAAATGCAGGAGAGGGGGATAACTCTTTTCTCCAACAAAAATGGAGTGAAGAAAGGAATTATAATCAGTAAGAATATGGTTATCTTACATAACGGTCTCTATTCTGTTTGAATTGAGCTTGAGAGGCAGTGATAAAGACGAGCTGCAACCAATTCATAGTGAGAAGAGAGCTATGAACTATGATCATGTCTTATTTCAAGTTAGAAGGTA